AAGGTTGCCTTGCGGTATTTAGTGCTGATAATATTAATACTAGTTTTGTATAAATACATTGATATTCCAGAAGATTGCTTTATAGTATTTGGTGCTGATAATACTAATACTAGTTTTGTATAAATACATTGATATTCCAGAAGATTGCTTTATGGTATTTGGTGCTGATAATACTAATACTAGTTTTGTATAAAGACATTGATATTCCAGAAGATTGCGTTGTGGTATTTGATGCTGATAATACTAATACTAGTTTTGTATAAAGACATTGATATTCCAGAAGATTGCCTTGTGGTATTTGGTGCTGATAATATTAATACTAGTTTTGTATAAATACATTTATTTTACAGAAGATTGCTTTGTGGTATTTGGTGCTGATAATACTAATACTAGTTTTGTATAAATACATTGATATTACAGAAGATTGTTTTGTGGTATTGGTGCTGATAATACTAATACTAGTTTTGGCAGGAGATCAAGGCACATAATAAATAATGTGTTTACAAGTTAAAAGAAATATTGTCTGCAAATACAGAAAGAGTCCGTTGCCCTACACACATTATTTATATATAGTAGCTTATAATGTTGCCGTAGACTTTTTGGTTGATATAGATTCAGTAGTTTTAAAATTTTTAAATCCATTTCCATAGACGCTGTAAAAATCTTAAATATTTCTGGGAATTCGCTGAGTTAACTATAACAATATATTATTACATTTATGAAGTAGGCATTTATTGTTCTTTTTAGGATTAAAAGAATGCTAAAGCTGTGGGAACCATTGAAGAACATTTTCTTGGAAGAAGAAAATTTTCTCAAAGCAATAATAGATTTTTTTGAAACCAATTAATAAAGATATACACTTTATTTATTTGAGTAATAAAAAAAAAATAAAAAACATTTTAAAAATAACTTTTAAAAACTCAATTAAAAATAAAAGATTAAGCAGTAAGTTTAAAGGTATTCAGAAAAGCCAGACGTGCAACAAATTAAAAAAACTAAAAGAATTTACTTGACGCACTAAGTAGAGATTGAAAATGGTGTAGAGACTTTTTTTAACGATAGAAATAATTATTCGGCAAAGTGTCTAGCAATTTTTTTTGTACAACAAATTATTCCAAAATGAGTCGCTGTTGTAACAAACACTTTGCCATTGGAATACCAATGAATAATAGAAATTTCTTAAATTTTTTTAGTAATAAGGCTATAAATATAGAAAATAATTTATTTAAATATGTTAAGTTATCGTTGCTTTTCATTATTTATTTTTTAGGCAGGGGGAGAGCGATGGGAAGAGACATTTGGTTGGTAGTTCGACATAAATGACAGCCTTAGTTTAGCATATGTTTCAGGAATAATGAGTCGTTAATGAAACTGTTAACCAAATTTTTAACAGTAGCTTACACAAATAGTATTAAAACGTTCTTTTTTTTTCAATTTGATCATATAAAGATTTAGTTCTATCACAAGTAATATTTGCAGTCTATCTAAAATTAAAAGTTTCAGATAAAACATCGTTTTTATTATCATCTTGCATTAAATCACTAGCTAGATTTACATCTGTTATTATAGAATTAGGACGAAAATATTAAAAAAAATATAAAATATCAATAAAACCAATTGAACCTTTTTAATATTCTTCTTAATCATCAAACTTGAAGTTAAAAAAGTATTAGAATATATTTTTTGTTTCTTCTGTCTCCAAAAATATTTTTTTTGACACCAGATGGCGTTGTAAACAATTTTTTTTTCTGGAATTAAAAATTATAGATTTTTATTGAAAATTAGAACACGGTTGAGGGTCATCAAATAAAAAAAAAATTACATTTATGATTGCATATAATCCCTTAACTTTAAATTATTTCAATTATAATATATATTTTTGGTTTTAAACAAGCTTAAACTGGAATTTTGAAAAGTTCAATAATTTCATCATAATTTCAGTAATTATTTGCAGTTTTAAAAAGTTGTTAAAAAGTGATGAAAATTACAAAATATATTCTTATAAAGCCTAATCTTTCCTCTCTCAGACAATCAAAAATTTTGTCTTTGCATATTTCCGCAAAATAGATATTTTTAAATTTGAAATATGACACTTTTTATGGTACGTCAAAAAATGCGTAGACGCACAAAATTTCCGATAGCGCCTAAATTTTATAGTCGGCTGTAAATTGAAACAGTACATGATTTTTATTCGAATCTTTAAAAGTGCATAGTTTTTTTTATTTTTTGTCCGATTTTAAATTGTTTGTACTCAAATTTAGGTCTTTTTATTTTGTACATCAAACTGCAATGGTCAGTCATCATTGTTTATAAAATGGTAAGAATTATTAGCATATTTACAAAAAACTACCAAAAAAACTATTACAAAACAATTTTTTTTTGAGTTATTTGTTTTTTGCTCTAAAATTTTTTGACTTACCAGGATTTTGTATTACTATTGTGAAAATAAAATAAAATGATGTGTTTGTTCCGTTTTAGATATACCCCATTCCAAGAATAGATTTTCTGAAAGCTGTGTAAACTAGTCGGCTGAAGTTTACTGATGTTCCTAGTCAGCTGAGGCCAAAAAGAAAATGTAAGTGAAAAAACCTATTTGATCAAGATTAACTTTGTAAGAATTCTTCAATGAATATTTAATCTTAAGTTTATTTTTTTTTCTTATCTTATAATGTGATGCAACTTATAGTGTTATCCACGAAAGGATTGTTTTGATAATTAACTACTTTTTTTAAGGACCCATCTCGACCTAAGAAATCAAAGGTAGGACGACCTTCAAACTACTAAATCAGCCTGAAGAAGTTGTCAAAAAGTTCTTCAGTAGTCATAGTTCAAATTTGTGGTATTCCTAAATCTTTTGTCCAAAACTTGGCTATTATTTGGGGTGCAGTGGTTTGGGATTTGTCTTAGATGCTGTAGCATTTGGTAAGCTCTGTAATAAAACTAAGAAAATCTACTTTGATAATTGCAATTGGTCTCAAATCACTCCAACTTTTTACAAATTTCTCTGTCATGATAGGGCTTTGAATGAGAAACCCGCCATTCTATCATGCGCTTGTACAAACCAACAACATAAAGGAATTGAAAGATCGTTGTGTTATTTTTCAATACGCTATAACCATAAACTCTGTTATTAAACTGAATCTATGCCATCATTTATTTCACTAAATTTGCTTACATAAAGTTCTTATGAAACCAGATCTAACGTGTCTACTTTGTTTTCATGAAATATATACAATCAAACAAGTTAAAAGAAAACATTATTAATTATATAAATTAACATTATTATTCGCTAGAGAGTAAGAATGCGACAATGCAAGAGTCCGACAGAATTTAGCGGTTGCCCCTTTTGCTTTGAGATATTGCTGATATTGAGGGCATTAAGCTAAACGGTCTAGTGCGTTTACAAAAGCAACAGTCGCTATAAAGTTCTGATATCTATATAATGACGCGTTGTAATAAAACGCATTCTTTTAATTTGAATTATTATCAAATATTAGACGCATTACTAAAAACCAAGTATTTTAAAATGCTAAAGACAAAAATGTAACAAAACAGAAATAAAAATAAAATTGCTGATTAATTGTTATATAGCAACCACTTTGCCAGCTAACCGCTTGCTCATTTCTCTCCGAGTTATTATTTTTTTTTAATGTAAAGCAAGAATATACAACAAATAACCATTTATTGAATATTTGCAATTTTTGTAAAGTCTATTATTTAACGTAGTCAACTATTCATTGACTACGTTAAATAACTTTTTAGCACTCCTAAAATAATAAAACTATTTGGAATCACCTGCAATTAAATTTGAACTCTCATGTATTATCTTTTTCCGGATATTCCAGAATTCAACTTTTATTTTTTCCGGATATCCAAAACATTTACTATACATAAAGGTTTAGATATAGACCTTTCTATACATTCAAGTTTATATATATATATATATATATATATATATATATATATATATATATATATATATATATATATATATATATATATATGTATATATATATATATATATATATATATATATATATATATATATATATATATATATATATATATATATATATATATATATAAATTTGTTTTTTTACCTTTTTCACTAATCATTTATTAAAAAAATAACAAAAGTTTGAAAAAAAAACTTCAGCTATAAGCAAAAAATTAAAAGAAAAATAAGAGAAAATATATATTCCGGATGTTTTACCCAAACAGTTTTCACGATATTTAAAATATTACCTGGATGGTCTACGAACTTAATAAATTTGTGGTAAAGAGTGAATGTAATAACAATCTTAAGATCGAGTCATGAGGAAGCTCGCATATTATTTTTTTTGTTTTGTTAAATCTTTTATATTGTAAATAATGGTTTCTGTTTGATATTATCCTTTAAACCAATGCAAGTTGTTGTTTTTTATCTAAAACTTTTATAAAGAATGATATGGTTCACAGTGTAAAAGAGTTAAAACAGACCAAGAAAAACTCAAAATGCTAAGCATTGAGTAACAACTAATTTTACTTGACTAATTTTATTTTAAATATGCACTTGTTTGTAACCTTTTTACTAATTAACTATTTCGTTTTAATAAAACTTATTTCAAAAAATATTTTAAGATTATAGATAAAACTAAGATTTTTTAATATACAATAATTTTAAAATGATAAATTTTTTAGTTTAAGGTAAAATAAGATTTACATAGTTTTTTTTCTTTTTATGTTTTTCAACAAACCTTTGCTCAATAATATGTGTCAAACCTTTGTCGTATTTAAAAACATAAATTGTTCACGATTAAGTAGATTTTTCTTTCATAAGTAAAGTAAAACTTAAATTTTAAAAAATCTTTCAATAACCCTAAATTAAAACTTTAACCCCAGTTAAATAATTGTTTATATAATACATCTAAGTGATTTAAAGGACAACAGCTGAAAATTAACTTGTTACTCTTAATAACATAATAAAATCTGTTTGTAACAAGATAAGTAATAATGTTTACCGTAAACCACATTTCTTCTTTATAATTTGAGTCTTCGTCATTGTTAGATGATGTGAACCCAATGCTAAAACCCACACATACAGATGCAACTGAAACAATAACAACTGCTAAAATCAATCTTACGCACTGTTCCTTATTTTCTAATAAACTAAACGATGTAATTAATGAAGTTTTTTCGTCGACGTCAAGAGCCATTTTGTTTGATAAGATAACTAAATAAAATGTAATAACAAAAACAGTTATATTATTAATAAGTAATAATATAATAAAAATGTAATTTAAAAAGTAATTTTTTTCATTTGAAACACCGTTCTAACGGTTGGTTAAATACATTTTCGGTTAACAATTTTGAATTTTTCTGGTAACTAAATTTTATTATGGTTTTATTAAAGTTTTGTGAATATACTTTTAACAAAACAAAAAAAAATTGAATAAAGTTTAACCCTTTATTAATGTAGCTAAAAACATCTGAAGTAGCAAAGTTAAAATGATATAAAAAAAGTTTTTCTTTGGTTTGTCAAATCTGACGTACAGACAGTACAGACGGTTTACTACGAGCGCCCTGGGCGAGATTTCTACGGCGCCCCTAGCAATTCAACCACATACAAAAAAGGCAAAGGGTATACGTAATAGTCGTATGAATATATAAGCAATTAGTAATATAAATAACTATTTATTAAGAAGAAAAACTAATAAATGTAACTTTTCTCGCCATTCTATCGGCAAATTCTTTTATTAATATATCAGAGTCAATTTTTTCAGCAATTTCATTTTCGATTGACAAAGTTGGTAAGTTTATAAACTTAGATTGTGATATTTTTGATCTTAGATGGGATTTTATCTACTTAAGCTTTGAGAAATCCCTCTCCCACTAGCAACCGTTACAGGTATAGTCAATAATATTCGAAATCCTATCCATACATTTGCATAAAGCTTTTGTAAGTTGCGATTTTTAATAAAATTTAAAACAAACACAGGAGTAACTACATTCTTATCATACAAAAAAGATTTCAAACCTAAAAGTTTATTGCACATCATACTACCGTCTATATCTGACTTGAATTCCACAGTTAATTTTTTTGGAGATTACCACAAAGTATGACAAGGTCAGGTTTTTCCGGAATCTGTTTTATATTGTACAAAAAAAAAGACCATGATTCTGAGTACTTACTTAACTGATCAAATCTTTTGTTGAATGAAGTTGATGTAGAGTTGAAGAGACAGTTAAAAAATTTAACTTCAAATATTTGTATGGAGAAGTTACATATGATGTAGATTTCAACACAGGCTCGATTTCTAGTTTTTTTGCCAATTCCTTTGGCGTTAAAATGGCGCTTTTAAATTCTGTATTTCTATATTTCTCCAAAAAAGTGCATAATTTTTTCAACATTTCTGTGCATTTTACTAGATCCATATCTATTGATTGTAGAAATTTACTAACGACATTAACTTGAAAAAGTATGTCATACCAAACAACCAATGAAACTATGAAACTGAAATCTTTTAACTGTTCAGCTAGAGTAGTAACTTCATGAAAGATTTGAACATCATTTTTTCGATTTTCAATAGCCAAAGTATTTATAGCATCATGGATGGCACTAATTAGATAACGGATGGCTTTAACACTGCTTATTCTTGCTTCCCAACGTGTGTCACTCAGCTTTTTAATGGTATATAATCCCAAGTGATCAGTTAGAATTTTCCATAGATGAACAGAAGCTGAAAAAAATATGAACAACCTCTGAAGTACCTCAAATAAAGTGACTGATTTAACAAACGACTTTGCGGCATCACATAGTACAAGATTATAGCTATGACAAGCACATGGTACATAAACAGCTAAGGGATATATGTTCAAAACTCTCTTTTGAACCACAATATTTGTTCTTTTCATGTTTGTCCCGTTGTCATAACCATGTCACCTCTAATTGTTTAACTCCAGTCCGTATTTATTTAAAACATCTATAATAACTTTAGTGAGTTTTTCACCAGTTGACTCATTGAACGTTAAAAATTCTATGAAACGTTCTTTCACTGATATTTTATCGTCATCTGATGATAAATCAACAAATCGTATTGTCAGTGACAGTTTTTCTCAAAATGAGTAATGTCTGGAGTACAGCCAGCTAAAATAGAATAATATTTTGATTTTTTGCGCGAGATATGATTTCTGACTTCACTTCTGTACCTATAAGCTCTATTAATTCATTTTGTATATCTTTTCCGCAATAGTGGTCTGAAACATCACCCTTCATAGCTAACCGCAAGTGCTGCTGCATAACTGGATCAAATTTGGCTAACAGTTGTACTAAACCCAAGAACTTTCCATTATTAGGTGTATATAGTTTGTCGGAAGTACCTCTGAACGCCATATTGTTTTCAATGTAATATGCATCAATCTAGATAAAACATTATTATACCTTGTAGTTTCTTTTCTAATTAAATGTTGCTCTTGAAAGTCTATTGTTTTTCCTGTTTTTAATCGCAGTCCATCCATGAAAAGTAAAACTTCTTATGAGAAGTGCTATTCTCATGAATAGCACTTCTCATAAGAAGTGCTATTTATGAGAATAGCTATTAACATTTCAGACAAGTGTTTCCAGTTGTTATATCCTTCAGGTACTAAACTCGACGTTGATCTACCATCAAATAGCCGGCAACAAAAATAATAAACTTGATTCTTAGAGAAGGAGTATATTAACCAACGATGCTGAATTGTTTCGTTGTTTGCAAGTTTTTTTGTAAAATGACAATTGGAGAAATGTCGGCCTGAATCATTCTTTGGATAATTATCAATGTTAGTTTGCATGTCGCAGTTAATTATTATATGATCTATAATTTTGCTATTTTGAATAAGTGGCTATATAGTTGGATCTGATATATTCGGAACAATAATGCTAAAGTCATCAGGAATTTGTATTTGTTTAACATTGCCAATGGAGTCATCACGAGTAGAAACTTGAATTTTTAGCACAAATTATCTCCTTCCTTCGGCAAATTTCGTCAACAATATCTTCAATAGCGAACTGATCTACTAATGCATTCGTTGCTATTCCAGTTGTAGATGCCACATTCAGGCCTTGATTTTTCGTTGAGATATATATATCTATATTCATAAACTTTTAAGTTTTTTGAAATTTTTTTTCTGCCTTCTGTTTTCTATATTCTGACCCAGATGGTTTTCTTTTGATAAGATTAACGTATTCAGACATATTGCAACATTGATAGATTATATAACTAGATGTCTAACTGGCAGGATTTTATTGGACAAAAAGTAAAGCCGCTTTTTTTTGTTTATAATAATAGCCCGCCATTTAAAAGGGCAAAAGTTGAAGCTGAAGTGTAGAATAAAAGTTAAAAATGCACGTTAAAAGTTCCTTATAAATTCAAGATAATTCAAAAATAAGTTTTAACAATAATAAAATACTTTTATGAGCCTATGTTTATTAAAAAGAATTTTTTAATTCATAAAAATGCTTCAAAATAGTAAGACGTTTTACTTTTCTTTTCAAAACTTTGATCCTTTTTTAATCAAAAATAAATAAAGGAATCATAAATTATTATTTTACAAGTTTTATAATTTCCGCTTAACGCTTTTACGTAAATAGTATTTAAATTTAAAATAAATTTACTTAATTTAAGAAAAGAAAAGTTAAAATAAAAAATTTGTTTACAAATTTAATCCGCCATTTGTAAATAGGGCAAAAAGCGGTTTCACTTTTTGTAATGAAGTTAGACATCTAGTTAGAAAACATCTCATTGTTTTGCAATAATCGACAAAGTAGTAATAAAGTAATGAAGTAAATTTCTGTATATCCGAATATTTTAAAAACAATTTACCACAATAAAACTGCGTTACAACACTACTTTAGCAAGAGAGTTTTTTTAATTGCGCAATTCTGAAATTGCAGCTCAACACTCATTGGTTAATGACCTTAACTAGAGTTAGAAATTCAACACTAATTGGTTCATTACTCATGTAATGTTTTTTAGTATAACACGCAAAACTTTAATACGTTCAAAGACTTTTTAGAGTTTTTTTGACCGTTTTTAATATAATAAGGTTTATTAACAAAAATAAATAGGTACATAAAATTTTGTAACTTTTCTTTTCTTTTGTAGACAATAATAAAAAACTATAATAAGTTTTTAACTAAAATAATAGAACTTTTAAATAATTAAATATAATATAATATATAATAATTGTAATTTTAAATAATTAAAGTTAAATGCGATCCAATCTCAAGTTACTAATATAATAATTTTCCGCTCAATTTAGCCCCTTTATATTCGGCGCCCTTGGCGTTCGCCCAACCAGGCCCTACCCTAACGCTGCCACTGCGTACATGTATAGCATATTGTAAACATTTTATCGTATTTTTATCTTAACACTCAAATTCCTATTTAACAAATACGGCTGGATAATTTTCACTTAAAAAAAAAGAAATAGGAAGTCCAGGCATTTTTGATGTTTGAGCTAATCTCCAGACACAGAGCAAACTTCAAACATTTATATTTTTATACCTAGGTCAAACTTTGCATTAAATTGCGATAAATCGATCCAGTGAACAAAAAAACAAGTACATTTTAGCTTCACCTGCAATAAATGTGTAGACAAAAAGTTGATAAAAAAATATCTTTCAATCTTTAACTAAAATTATATTCATCTATAAATTTCAGACTTCTTACATGAAAATTTTAGCGTAGAAAAAAATGATTTTTTTTTATTTGTAACCCCCTTAAACTAAAGAAATAAAAAATAGTTTTTAAATAAATGTGATCAGAACTTTTATCACTATTTGCAATAGATAGTCTTGTCACTTGCGATATTTCTTTAATCAACTAGTTTACACTTTTCTAGTGTCCAGTCCGCTGCAGAGCGTTTTTGTTAGTGTTTTTCTATGAACTACTTCCTAAAAATGTATGTTTTTTATCCAATACTTTAAATTCCTTCAGTTAACTGAAGGAATTTAAAGTATTGGATAAAAATAAACTGAAATTTATGGTTGCAGTACTTCTAGGATGCTTTTGGGAACTTCTATATCCAAAGTTCCTGCTTCTAACAATATTTTTGTTACTTCTTGAAGGATAGATCTGATAGCCGGATTTTCTAAAGAACACATAGAAGATATAAGTTTAAAACTCAAATAGAAATAAACGTCTGTTTTCTGTGACCTTTTCCATTTCCTTCCAAATTTGTTTAATATTGTAAACTTCAAATGATCATTACATTTGAATATTAAAAGATTATTAAATGAATTATAAAACTGAACTTGACTTTTGCATTTTTTGGAACTTATTATTCTCATAGTTCGCGGAAAAACTTTTTGAAGCTTTTTGTTTTCATGGTTTATTTAACGGTATTATTAGTACAACATTTTTATTTAAGTTAGGCATAAACATATTTAAATTTAGAGTTTGCACAAAACCTGAAACTATTATATCAAAATTAAATTAAAGATAAATTTGTACATGAAACTTTCTGATCCACAAAACAAGTTAATACAAACAAGGAGGCATTGAGTTGTATGTCTTGTAAAATTTTACCTCTTAACAAATTATTTGCTTCAAGATGAACTTCCTTCTAGAAGAAAATTGGCCAAAATTTGGCCAAGGAAATCACAGTGTTTTAAGCAGAGCATTACATGTTTGGTGCGGAAAGTTATCATTAATGGTCTCTTCTCTTATTACAAGAATTTGTATCTTAGAAGCAGAAAATAAAATTCAACAAAAGAAAATTGATTTTCTTAAAAATAATGTCAATGCAAACATCGCTTATTAAAATAATATTCACAGTGCTGACGTCTGGGCAGGTTTTGCAAGTAAAGAAAAAGACATTGTTGCCGAAGAGAAAAATGCTGCTTTGTTTGCCAAAATTTCAAAAGAAAATAACGAAAAAAATATAATTTTAAATAATATGATCAAAAGTGGTCTGGTACTGAGTCAGTAAATTTGGATGATGATAATAAAGCGATCGATAGAATTCTTACCATTCTACAAGTGTCTTCTGACGATGTAAATATCAAAAAACAACTTCAAAAGAAAAATGACTCTATTCCTACTCCTTCTCTTTTGAAATTGACAATCAATTTAATTCTGTGTCCTCACATCCTCCATTTGTTTTAATTGAATTTAAGAACCATGAAAAATATCAACCAGCTTTGGCTAACACAAGGGAACTAAATAATATTTTTGGTTTAACAAAAGTTTATATTCGACCAGATCAAACTAAAAATAAAAGAATTGCTCTTTTTAAACTTTATGTTGAATGTAGAATTAGAAACAATGCTAAACAATCTTTTGAGGATTTGCAAAGTTTTAATTGGAAATGATATTTTGTTAACTGGTTGTATTTATTGCCAACCGTTAAATCAATATGAGTCTAATTTGCAAGTCAGCAAATCAATCAAACGCGCTTGAACTCTTGTTGATGATGGTAAATTTATAAGTGTTCTCATTGTTGGTGATTTTAATCATAGTGATGCCAGGCTTGTAAAAGTAAAATTCGATCTCTTTTTGACCACGATGGAATGCAGTTAGTAGATAAAATGGCTGAACGATTGCAGAATGACATGAAACTTGAAGTCCCATAAAAAGGTCGTATTTTTTCATTTAAATATATATATATATATATATATATATATATATATATATATATATATATATATATATATATATATATATATATATATATATATATATATATATATATATATATATATAAATATATATATATATATATATATATATATATATATATATATATATATATATATATATATATATATATATATATAAATATATATATATATATATATATAATATGACTGATGATTGCCAAACGGCATGAAACTTTTAGTTCCATCATAAAGTTGTATTTTTTTTATTTAAATTATTTTAATATATATATATATATATATATATATATATATATATATATATATATATATATACATATTATTATTATTGTTATTATTGCTATTATTAGTATTATTATTATTATTATTATTGTTGTTGTTGTTATTATTATAAAATCCTCATTATTAAAATTCAATCATATATTACGTTTCAAGTACGTCATTGAATTTTTTTTAAAGTAATACAATACAATACAAATCTTTTGCTTCTTTTGTTCATTTTATCTTTATAAAATGAACAAAAAATGAAAAATTAACTTTATCTTTATAACAATTCAAATAAAAAAAGTCTTACATAAATCTGGTATTCCAAAATTTACTAAAATGTACCAAACCTGCAAATTAAATTTACTTGGTTTAGTAATTTTTTGATGTAGTTATAAAGTTTCCTCAACATTTCTGAAAAAGTAATTTATAGATTTAAATTCATATTTGTTTTCACAGTAAACACAAAATTGAAACTAACGCAGCTTGTTTGTTTTGGTAACGTTACCAAAACTAATAACCAAATATACACGCGTTTATAAAAAATTTAATATAATAGAAGGGGAAGCGTCGAAATATTGAAATAATGAATAATTATAAGAATTATTCAAAACTTATAATCAGTTATCGATCTTGATGCTTATAAGGTTACAGGGATATCTTCTATACAATTTAACAAAAATGGGAATAAAAATATAAACAGAAACTGAAATAGATTTGAATTGCATTACAAAATCTGATTAGAAATTAAACTGCAAACAATCTATCTATTTATCAGTTATTATTGATACCAAATAACAATAACAACTGGAGAAGTTGGAAAGCACATTAAAAAAAAATATTTTTCGGCAATTATATCGGGAGAACCATAAATATTGTTGCCCTCAAAATGTTTTATTTTAATTTTGACTCAAAACATATTTTTTAAAAAAGATAGAAAGAAATTTTAAAAAATGGTTAATAGAAATTAAAAAGAACTCAAAAAATGCGATAACAAAAAATAGTAAAAATCTGTCAATTAAGTCTAGCAAATTCTATCGCATTCTTCAGATCAATTCTATAGATTCTAATAACATTTTTATATAAAGTGTAATGACAAAAAACAAGTTGGAAATATAATACTTCTTTTAAGTAAGTTATTTGTTTCTTATGATTGTCAGAAGGATTAAAATTTTATCAGAAATTTAAAATGCTGAAAAATGGCCAGAAAATTTCCGGAAATTTTTTAAAAAAGGTAAGTTATTTAATAGTTAACTGGTAAAGTTTTGTATCTTATTTAGTTGTTGTAAACAATTTTATAAAATAATATTGTGATTAAAAATGTTTTAGTCTAAAATATTTTTCTACTTCACAATATTATTTTATAAAATTGTCTATTAAAATACTAAAATGAAAGTTTTTTAAAAGGGGTATACTAAAATATTTAGAATAGCTCTTTTGAAAAACTTTTATTTTATTATTTTGTTGAGTTTTTTAATTATATATTTAAGTTGCAACTAGAGATGGGCCGATTCCAAAAAATACAGATTCCGATTCCGATTTCAATTATTCATTGCAATTCCAGTTTTCTACCAATTCTTTTGTGGTTTTTATTATTACATTACTGCTTATAGTTCCATTAATACTTACATAGACTTAAAAACTAAAAATATTGAAATCAGTTGTATAAGTGAAACACGGCTAACATCGCCGAGGCTCTAGGGAGCACGCCCTACTCGCACCTTTGTATGGAAAACCTTTTTTTTTCAAGAAATCGACCTAGAAAATGAAGGTTTTTTTCAAAAAAAGAGAGGGTCTTGAGAAATGATATCAACTTAACTAATATCGTATTAACAAATAACAAATAATTTACAGAATTTTTGTATAATTGTATGATTAATAAGAAACAAGTAATATAGTCATATGTAATGGATAGTGATCAGGTAAACAGAATATTATAATTTCAACATTTACATAAGTTACTACCATTAGTACTGAAAGTTTAGAAACGGCAGGTTTTTGTTGAAAAGCACAAGCATTTGCACTAGCTTGAGAATTAACTGGCTTCTTTTCTGGTTGCAGATAACCCTTGCAGTACTAAATAACGGCTCCGAAAACACTGTACATAAATGCGTCCCTAAATATTTCTGTGCTAGTTTTTTCATAATAAGAAATTTAGATTTCCTTAAGTAATCAAAACACGTCTTCGTGACATGCTTGAAGAGGTTCTTTCAAGTACAGTTACTTCGTTTGACATTGTACAATACGCAAATATTACAAAAAAATTTAATTTTTTTGTAATATTTTAGATAATACTGCGATAACCACCCCAAGGCCAAGGGGGCTACTTCAGCCAAAGAGACTACTCATTTTTTTATTAATTTTTTTGTGTCCTTAATTGCCGTAACAGCCCTCTCTCAATTCTTTACATTAAAAACACAGACCTTGACAAACAAGGTCGTTACGCAAAGAAACATTCTCAAATATTTTTCAAAATAATAAAAATACATACAAAAATTTTTAAAGTACAAAAATAATATACTTACTACAGAATTTGTGTTGATTATTTGGTTATACAATGACCAGCACTTGGAGCAGGTGTGGTTCTTTCTTGATTTTCAGCAACTTTAATTTCAAGACCTTTGCCTATGTCAAGTGGATGGAACTCACCGATTAATAAAGCTACAGCTTTCTCAGCCATTGTCCTGCTCCTAAAAATCTTGTTTTTAAATCTGACATCCAGTATTGTTGCAAAAGCATATATAGGTTCCTTCTCGCAGTCTCCGTAACGGCGATGCAAAAATTCACACAGAGATTTTTTGAAATTTCTGTAGTCCTTGATGCGATCAGGTGAGATGTTAACTGCAAAAGTGATGTCTTCAAAAACTTTTAGAGTAGCAACGAGAGAAACCAAACTGTCCAATTCTTCGGTTGACAATTTTTTGTTTTGTCGAGCATCCTTTGGGAAATGTGGCGTTACCAACAGAATCGCATCTTTTTGTTCAATTAAACGGTTTAGCATGTGGAAGGTCTTATACCATCTAGTTGGCTCATCTTGAATGATGCTGTGTTTAGGAACCTCCAATCTTCTGAGATTGTTTAAAAAGTTTGTACGGTTTAAATGAATGTTTAAAGTGCTCTACTATTCTACTACATGTAGCAGTTAGTAAAGAAATGCGTTCATTGTCAAGACAGCCATCTTTTACAACCAACTGAATTGTATAAGCAAGGCAAGGAATGTTTGAAAACTTCCCTACTTCTGCAGAGATATTTTTTCTTGCATTATCTCATACTACTTTTTCAAGAAGTCCCCAACGCTCAAGTGAATCATTCATAAATTTAACGAGATTATCTGTTGGGTGGGACTCGTAAAGAAAAGGTACCACGTTAAGAAAAACGTGAATTTTCTTGATATCTTCTGTGAGTAAATGTGCTGTTTGGCTCATGTAATCAACGTTACCTGTGGAGCTCCACATGTTGGAAGTTAAACTAACATGATCAACTTTCTTTGCTGAGAAACGAATTTTACTTGATACCCTCTGATAAATGTTAAAAATTTCAATAGTCAAGAAGTATTTTTTGGTTGGTATTGTAATCTTGGCTCAAAAAACTGTAGTAATCTTTTGAAAGCTACTATACTAACAGGTTGGTTATCTGTACATATCATTTCTGCAATAAGCATTGTAATTTTTAGTGCCTTCGGATCTGCATATGTGAGAAGCCTAATCTTTGCAAATACTTTGTGTATTGTCGGTTAT